ACAGTATTCCTGCATTATTACCATTTTTGAAAGCAACATGTAAAAGTAAACAACATTGCGAGCTAGACATACAGGAACAAATATTGTTCAACAGATAGTTATTTTTATGGATCTGAGATTCTATCACATTTAAAAATTTAGTTAAAGTTATTATTGCACACAGATTAAAAGTATAAGAATCATTTGACTTGGTACTTTGTACAGGTATTTGTGAACATTATGGCAAAGGACTTGCTGCATCTTTAAAAGATATGAGATTTATTACTCCGCTTGTGGATTCAGAAGATATTAATTATTATATTGATTCAGGAATTTCAATCACCGCATGAAGAGATGAAAAGATGATTCTTAAGGTGACAGAACAATGTTGGAGTATTACCACATCATATGAAAGGTGAGATACTCTCAGAATCTTTCAAGAAATTTTGGATTCGTAGAATGGCAAACATTATAAATATAAATAAGATCACATTATATAATAATAACGGAATCCCTAGGTGTCACATTATTCAAATGGATATCCCAACAAAAACTAAATTAAAGGAAGCAATCAGAATTAAAGAGATATGATCTACAAGAGGTTTACATTCCTCAAGAACCACATAGCTTTGAATATACTACCATTAGGAGAATTTAGTGTATGGCAAGATATAGTATTAGAATGACTAGACCTTGAAGTAGAGTCTGCACCAAAAACTTGAAATGTTATTGAATGAAGGAAATACAAGTCGAAGTTTAAATACTACCACATATTGTGTGAAATGATTCACGAAAACCCAAAGACCATCAAAATACTTGAGAAAGTGGAGAATATTATTAAGTAGCAACAAGGAGTTGTATCTTGTTCAAAGTAGTTGATGTTGCTTACTTGTCCATAGTAAGATAACTGCCACTAATTTACTGTCTCGGAATTCAAAAAATTATAGCAAAAGTTAGACTAATTTGGTTCCGAAATATGATCCTGCAGGAGCTTAATGCTGGAGAGAACCTTCTATTACCAAGGTAACAACACAATCATCATCATCATCATCACTTAGTATTGGTTTAGATTACATGATGTCTTCATTACCAATATCAACTTTATCATCTTCTTCAACTTCACCATCAGGATGAACCCGCATGACATATAATTAATTATCATTTACAATTATTTATTAT